GACTACGTGAGAGGTTGGAGAGGAGAAGCAAATCCCTGTGTGAATTTCGGGTGACAGTGAAATAGGTCATTAATCAAAAATCGTTTTTGAACCAGGCTTCTATCCAAAACACATCTCAGCTGCCATTCCAGTTCTTGGCGCCCTACCAGTAAATATGGCTGCATGTTTCTCATGGCAGGACAAAAGCCACACACAGCATGATTTTCCTGTTGGCCCAGGACTTTGTGACCATAGCTCCCCCACAGCGGGGTCTGGCACCCCACGCCAGGCCTGTGGGGGTCACAGCACTGATTAAGTTTGGCCCAACTGCCTCTCCATCATGACAGGGAAGGTGAGATGGGACAAACCAGACTGGTGTTGCACCACAGCTGGTCACACTGACCCATGGGACATAGGAGCTGCTGCTGCCCATGCCTGGGGTCCATGCACAATGGGATTACTCGCCAGACCCCTTCCCACCAGGGTTGATTAGGGTTGCAGTGCCGGTTAGAGGGTGCTGTTGCAGGTGGGTGATGCCCCTTCATTTCCCAGAGAATTTGTTTTAATCAAAAATTTTGTCATGGCCCCCAAACCCGTCATTTTTGTGGAACTGACTATGACTGTGCTCTGATTTTTTTTTTATTTCAAAAAATGCCATGACATATCAATAGCCTATCTGCACCTCAGTCTGGACACGCAGCACCGCATCCATTTGAGGTCTGGCAGGGGCAAGAGTAAGACAATATTAGTGTTCCCTCCACTCTTTTCCATTCGTGTGTGGATTTTTTCCATCCAGGTGTGAAATAAATTTTTTTATGTGCACTGAGGCCTGTGTGAATGTACACCATTAACAGAAACACAAAACCTAACTGTGGGTGTGCTGTTAATAAGGTAGGCAACATTTGAATCTCTTTCCTGAGTGGCCAAACAAGTGCACAGCTTACAGGGAACACTACACCCAGCTTTTAATCCCGAAGGACAGCCAGTGAGGGGCAGAGAATAACTCAGTTTCTTTTCCTTGCCTCTTCAGCAGTTTCACTCCCTCAAGTGCCCAGTAAAAGGAGCTGGTACTGATGGTTTGGTAATATGGATATTTATTTCAAACAGAACACTGAATAGCCATCTGATGGGGACATATTTTGCTGGATTGAAACTCACAAGCGAGGGGTATCTCTATTTACAGATCTCCTATCCCCTCATCCCACCTTTTTGTTGACACTCCTAGGCTGTGTCTAGACTGGCAAGTTTTTCCGCAAAATCATCTGCTTTCGCGGAAAAACTTGCCAGCTGTCTACACTGGCCGCTTGAATTTCCGTAAAAGCACTGATGATCTCATGTAAGATTGTCAGTGCTTTTCCGGAAATACTATGCTGCTCCCGTTTGGGCAAAAGTCTTTTTCTGAAAGACTTTTGTGCAAAAGGGCCAGTGTAGACAGCACAGTAGTGTTTTCCGCAAAAAAGCCCCGATCGCGAAAATGGCGATCGGGGCTTTTTTTGCGGAAAACCGCGTCTAGATTGGCCACGGACGCTTTTCCGCAAAAAGTGCTTTTGCGGAAAAGCATCCTGCCAATCTAGACGTGCTTTTCCGAAAATGCTTTTAACGGAAAAAATTTCCATTAAAAGCATTTTCAGAAAATCATGCCAGTGTAGACATAGATTTTATTTCAGCAGCACTTGCGCTTTCTGTTGTCTGACACAAGATGAAAGATTTTGGGTAGTGATGGCAGATTCCTCTCATGCGGCAGTTTGAGGAGACACAGATCCTATTCTCCTCTCACCTTGCGTGTGCTAGGAACCCCCATCTTCACCCCACCCCATGCAAAAGACAGAAAATCAGACACACAAAGTGAATAATTTTCCAAGCTGGTTAACAAAACAACCTCCAAGTGGTATAAAACAGCCTTCCTTTACCAACCCCGCGTTCCCATGACAAATGCTGCTCCCATGATCTCTGCCACCTCTTAAGGTAACTGAGAACCTTTAACTTGTGCAGGACATTCAGACTTTCAGTGGGGCTTGTACAGTCTGTGATTTAGCCCCAGGCTTTTGGGACTCCACTTTGTGTGTTCTGGCAGTGACGTGAGAATGCACATCTCGCAGTTGTGCATTGAACCAGGCGATCTGAGAGGCCTGTCTATAATAGTGGAATCATCTTTTCTTCAATTAAGTGCTACTATTGTTGTGATCTTCAATACAGGATATAATGGCCGCATTCATGCAGAGGTGGCTGTTTGTGTGTAATTCTCTTGACATACTGCTAAGCCCAAGTCTTTTAAACCCTCCTTTACTCAGATCCAGAAAGTTTAACGTGTTATGCCAGATAGGGCTGGCTTTTCCGCTGTAAGCTTCTTTTCCTATTATTTTTGGATAAAGTCAATTGACCATGAAATACCTCTTTATTGCAAAATGATACTTCTAAAACTTCACGAAGGAATCGTGAGTCAAAACCATGGGCTAAGGAGGTGCATTTGCACTGAGGTGCTATTGAAGTAATGAGAGAGAGAAAATGTTACCTTAATTTATTTAAATTCATATGCCTACATTCATGTAAGTTTAGATTTAATTACCCATTACAAATCCATTTTTCTGCCTTATTAACTGGAGATCCGAGGCACTTTTATTTAAAATTTGTAACTATCTCAACTTCATTTAGCAACACAATGTGAATAGTTTGGGAGGGGGGGCAATCTTTCAACATTTTTTTAAAGCGATTTAAAAAAGATGAGCACCTAGCAAGTTTTTTTTTCCTAAAGTCACTTTTTAAAGATTGCTATCTTTTCATATTAAAGTTAACATTACCATATGCTGTTGAGCTTTTGTTGATGGCGATGCTTAAACTGGGATGTTGTTTCCTTTGGAGATTCTTACTGCCAGTCATTAATTTACATTTTTTTGAAATCTTACAGAGAGTGCTTTGTTGATGCCTGTTTTCATTTTGCTTCTCTCTCTTTTTTCAGGTCACACATGAGGAGTTTTTTCAAACAGCAAGTTAAGGCGGTGGAATGAAATCAGTGACATCTGCCACTCACTCTCTCTTCCTCCATCCTGCTCACCCGTAACCTCTTCCCCCCTTTTTTTTGTAACGCTTGTCATTTTCTTCTACTCCAAGGGCCAAATTCAACTCCCATTTTAACTCTACTGGAGCCAGTTTTTGCTCCAGGGAATGCATTTGGGGCAGAATCTTCTTTTTCTTGTGGTGGATTTTGGGTTGCCTCGGTGTTGCCACTTGAACTGTGCCACTGCCCTTCACAGGCTTTTGCTTCTCACAAAGTCTTGTCCATTTCTGAGTTTCTTTTGTTGTAATTAAAGATGGTGCAATACAAATGAAGAGTCTAGCAGTTAACATTTTCCTGTGCTGACTACAATCACCTCCTAAGAATTGGTGCGTTTCAATTCTTTATTGCAGCTGACTATCTCTATCACAAGCTAAGTAAATGAAGTCTCGCTTAAAAAAAAATCATAATTCCGCTGCTTCAAAAGCTGAATGATTGACACGTTTTGCTGAATCATGTCCACTCAGGAAATGTACTAGCCAGACCGTTAAGAACCTGATCCTGCAATCATGCAAGTAATCTTTGCTCGTGTGAATTACCTCATTGGCTTAAATAAGCAATGTAGGGATGAGCCCTAACATTTGAGAAGTTTACAGTGAAACAATTTGTCTCAGATTGAATTTACATTTTGTGAACCCTAACTATTGAAGATGGAAAGAGACATCATGGGCTACATTCTGAAGTTCTTTATTCAGTCTTCACTCAGGCAATCAAAGCTAATGGTAGTTTCCCTGAATAAGCTGAGTGCCAATTGGAATACCAGTAAAATTTCTCCAGTAATGTGCTCTAAATTTCTGCATCAGGTTCTGGTGAGAAGCCCGGCCCAGCCAATCCCTCATTGCATGACAGCTTGACAACATGGGATACCTTTGATAAAATGCTCTTAACACTTAAAAACAGGTCTAAAACAGATTGCCTTAAAAAAAATGGGATGCTTGTGGGTTGCAAACAGTTTGCAATAACAATCGCCAGTAAAAAGGAAGGAAATTCTCTAGATCAGTGGTTCCCAATCTTATCACTAGTGCGGACCCCCAATCACCCCCTCAAACCATTCATGGACCCCCAGTCAACCCCCGGTCACCCCCCCAAAACTGTTCGCGTATCCCCGTCAAAGCCAATTTTAGCTGCATTTCTAGTAGTCAGCGGAGTATAGTCTCACTTTTCATTTACTTAAGCCTGTTTGATTAGACATTCCACTTGTGGTTGCTTCACTGTGCTCATCAATCTCCTTTCTCTTCAGCAAGCCTGATTTCAGCCACAGATCCAGGTTGAATGTATGGCTAAAGTTTGCTTCTAACCGTTGCGATAGTTTCATCACACAAAGGCACCACAATATAGATTTTCGGACAGCAATTACTAACATTATTGGAAGATATTTAATTTTAAAATAATGATGGATTGTAAGTTTGCAATTTATTTAAAACTTATTTTCTAGGATCATTTTAATTTCTCTTTTATTTTTTTCACGGACTTCCTGCAATACCTCGCGGGCCCCAGGTTGGGAACTGCTGCTCTAGATTATAAGATAGTATGAATGCTTAAAACTGGAACTGTATGGAGAGGATCCAGTTAAATGAAATAATCTGTTGCTGAAACTTGGATTTTACAAGCCGTTCCTTTCCTGATGTCATCGCAAAGCAAGAGAAGAGAAACAAATTGACACGTACTGTGATACATTCCTGTAATGGATTAGGAGCCGTGCATTGCTGACACTGAAGTCAGAAGAACAGAACAGATTGCGAAGTTGTTCAGAGATGCTGGCTCTGGTTATTTCTTCCAACAGAGTAATAAGAATGCTGGAAACTTGCCTTGTATGTGTGATCTGGATTTCAGTCCCTCTGGAAATGTATTGGAGAGAGGGGCGGGGAGGTGAGGGGGAAAGGGGTTGGAAAATTACACAACACAATAAGAGGGGTTATACTAGGGTTGCCTAATGTTTTTCAGGCCAGTTCAAATTCTGATTTCTTTACTCTGGTTCGTGACTGGTGGGAGCTCAGGATTTGGATTGTCATTGCTTCCCAAACAAATCAGGTCAGGAGAGTCTATTATGTCTTCCCAAAGGTCTCTGTTATTAGCCTTTTAAGGAGCGGGATCCTGTGCTTATGTGGAGTATGTTGTCAGGTTAGGTATAAAATTACTCTTTCTATTTTATATATAGAGAGCGACAGAGCCATGCACACTTTGGAGGTTACCCTCCAGCATCTGGGAATCATTTTCTCACCAAATGATGGACAAGCAGCCCACAATTATACCTCTACCCCTGCTCCCCCCATGCTGAGAATGGCACGTCTGAATGTGCTCTCCCCGCTTACTCCTGGGTCCAGAGCAAATCTGTGGAGCTAGCAGTCTGTGCAGGAGGCATGGACCGCAGGAGGAGCCCCTTCCTGTGGCTGAGGAGCTCAGGGGAGCATTGGGCTTTGCCACGACCCAGTCGGATGGGGGTCATTCTAGCCTGAGCCCAAATCCTGCACTCCGTCCTCAGGGTTTAATCAGTGCTGGCACAGACAAGCCTCCCATCTGTGTTCGCTGCAGTTATTCTGTAGTTGGCCTTTTAATGTCAAAGGGAATTTTGCCCGTGCAAGGAGTTAACAGCTAAAGATTGGACGGGGCCATTTAGACACAGTTCATAGCAACGGGTGGACACTGCCCCAGGGAGAAGAGGTGGGCACAATGCGGAGAGTGTGTAGCTTCTATTATGTGCCTCTGTCGGCTACAGCTTCCTCCAGCCCAGATGTCAGGCCAGCTCCATATGCTGGTTCGCATGCTGGGGAGGCCTGGCCCATCACACTCTTCCTTGCCCCTGGGGGTACTCTCTACACATCCAGGGGAGAAGGCACCTGCCCTGCTTTTGTGGTGGAGAGGAGAATAACCAAGACACATGCCCCTCAACTAACTATATGAAGCAGAAGGGGAGAGAGTGTGGAAAGAGTCCAGACCATTCCTGAAGAAGTCTAGCTGCTGGATCTTAATGGAGGAGGTAAAACTGTGTAAGCCCTAAGTACTGGTATTGTTATTTATTAGCCACCATCTATATTAATCTAACTCCCATGCAGAGCCAACCGAAGTATTGTTTAGCATCTGTTCCTTGGGCTGTGATCAGCTGTAGGGTCTGAAACTGGGTGTTAGTGGCAGAATTCCAAAGCTGCTGACCCTTAGGGTAGGTCCAGGTTAGCACCTGTGGCTGACCCATGTTCTATAACTTGGTGGAGTAGATGCTCAGACTGAAACTGGGCCTCTGAGACCCCAAAAGAGGGGGATGGTCCCAGAGCCCGGCTTCAGCCCAAGCCTGAATGTCTACGCCACCGTTACAGTCCCATACCCCAAGTCCCGTGAGTGTGAGTTCACTGACATGGGCCAGTTGCTGGTGTGTAGTTGCAGGGTAGATACACTCTTATTGACCAGAAGATGTGACGAATGGCCAGCTACGTTGTCTCACCGGAAGTACGCCGGCAGAGGTCTTGCACGTGTGCTATATAACTGAGCACATACAAAAAGGAATGGCAGTTACTGTAAAATCTCGAACATAATGCACACCGATGTTTAATGCGCACCCTGACTTTTGAATTTTATCATAATGAAAAAAATCTATACTCCTATATATAATGCGCACCCCAGCTATTGATTTACTTACTTTTTTGAAAGTCTATATGATTGCTAGTTTATGGGAATAAAATTCAACTTCACATCCGGTGTCCATGTTTATAACTGATTTTCATAAATGTCAGCAATTAACTATAAACTATTTCATACGACAAGTAAGATGTAAACTTCATATTATTTATTGTTTTTAAATATTTTAAAGCATTGTAAGAATCTCTGCCATTTCAGCTGATGTTGATTTCATGTTTACTGCCGTCTTAGCGTGGCGTCAGCATAGCGGAGGTTCGTCGTCTTCTGACATAGAACTGCCAAAATAAAACTTTAAACAATAGCTCTTATATATAATGCGCACCCCGACTTTGACCCAAAAAAACTCAGAAAAAAGTGCATTATATTTGAGATTTTACAGTATTTGAAATTCAGCAGTCTGAGAATCTATCAGTGATGCCATGGCGTCATTTAACTAGCCCTATTGCCATTTACTCAGTCAATCAGGGTTGGCATTTCAGAGTTGGAACTTTAGGGTCTATGCACTGTATGGAAAACCATATAAAAATAACAAGCTGCCACTTTAAATTTCAGGGAGTTTCCGGCTCCAGCTTGCAGAGGAAGCTCTGTAGGGAAGCAGTGATCTTGGCCTACCTGCAGTGAGTTTGCAGCCTGCCAGTCTACAATAAGATGGAGTGAGTTATGCCTCACTGTTTTGGGAGCAGCCTGCTTGCTTTTGCTCTGTTTGGGGGTTCTGAGGTGTTATTCTGAATTCTAAGAAATAAAATAGAGTTATGTTGCAAAAGTGTTTGCTTTTTAATCTAACTTCTCCTTGTGCATGCTGGGAAACACAACTTTATTTTATTCTCTCCCTCCCCCCAACTATGGTCCTTTTCAGTCGTTTTTCTATGAATTAAGTATCCAGGATTTAGCCTGAGCAGAGCTGCAAATCTTCCCTCTGCTTTAGCTTCCTTCCTCTCCACTGTAAATGATATTACCTCCAACCCTGATTTATGTATGGCTTCTCAGGAAAAGGGTCAGCCAGAGAGCCTTTGGCAACACAGTCACCAGAGATATGCATTAGGCTTGCATACCTTGCCAAACTAGCTACGGGGGATGCTGGGCCCACCTCTTGACCTTTGCTTTCTCCATTGTGCACCAGATTTCCCGTGTATTCTTGGGTTAGCTAGCATGTTGCTTTGGTTGACACTGAACATGGCAAAAGAGTGGCCCGCAAAACCCAAGAATATTTTAGTGGTCTCTGGAAATGCTGCCTGAGCTTGCCCCCTCCCAGGTTTTGTCTATAACCAGAGCCAGTCTTAGAGGCGGGCAAGCCAGGCGGTTGCCCGGAGCTGCCATTTTCAAATGCCTGCCTACAAAGCTGGTCATAGGAGCGGGCCACGACTGCATCTCGGCCCAACCTCCCGAATCCTCCCTCCGGGTTTCCCTGGTTACTCCCTGACCCTTTTTTTTTCTTGACAAATTTTTGTTCGGTATTTTTTTTAAACCATCTGGCAACCCTATGGGCAAGCTGAGTGGTCACCCAGGGCCTCCAATTGGTTAGGACTGGCCCTGTCTATGTCCACAGCGCCACACCACTGTAGCGCTTAATGAAGATGTGACCTATGTCAATGTGAAAGCTTCTCTCGCCGACATAAGGAACCCACTTCCACAAGTGGTGGCAACTGTGTGGAAGGGACAAGTCCTCTTGTCTACGTAATGCTGTCTATATGACATGGCTGGTGACAGACTTCGCTGGGCTCTGGGCCAATATGGGGGATCTCAGGTGTGGGCCTCTCAAAAGGGATAGGAAGAAAGGATGGGGCTAGGGACAGCAAGGCCTCAGTGTCACTGGGATTATACTGTGCTTCCCACAGACAGCCCTCAGCATGGTCCGGACTACACCGCATGGGGCTCTGGTAGTAATTTAAAGGGCCAGTATCTCCAGGCCTTTTTAAATCACCAGGACTCAGGGCAACTATCCCTTTCCTCCCCCCATCAGCAGCCCTTCTACACAGGGTAAGGGGGGTACATCACTCTCAGGTGTGGATTTCCCATATCCCAGAGCAGCATAATTCTACTGACATAAATTCCTAGTGTCGCCCAAGCCTGAGGTACAGCTCAGCCTGCAAAGACCTTGGATTCTAAAGGGCCAGAGTTCCTTGTATGAGGCTGTGTTATGCAGAATAGTTTGTGGTGGAGACCAGCTGTCAGGACTCCTGGGCTCTCTTCTTGGCTCTGCTGCTAACTCGCTCTCTGACACTGAGAAAGTCACTGCATGGACCAAATAAAGGCGTCTCTTGAATTTTCTCTAGTCTCTTTGTACCGCAGCTTGGGGATAATAATAAAGTTCGGTTTAGCGTGAAAACAGCTTCTCTGAGCGCCTCAGACAGAAGGTAGCGTCAGAACACTGGGCTAGCCACCGTTGAATGCCTGCAGGATTCAGGGAGAACTGAAGGTAGTCTGTGCCTCCTAGGAAGTGTTTTGCACCTTGCAGGGCCTGCCTCATTAAGTGCAATCTATTATTCATTCTTCATGATTTTTTTTCTTATTACTGCTCGTTTTCAATGCCTAGGTTGGGTGTTTTTGCATTGATGGTAATTAAGGAAATGTTTGCAACGGGAAAGCTCATGATTTTCTCTATTTTCTCTATTTTCTGTTAGTCTCTAAGAATGACTTTTTTTCTCAGGGTTATCCCTGGCTACCCCCTGAGACTTTTCAAGTTTGAGGCATTTGTTAAAGGATATATAAGTGTAAGCCATATTTGGTCATGCTCTTTCATTCTGAATATGAATATCATCATCTTCATCTTCCTTTTTGCACCATCGGGGCCATAACACCAAAGCCCCCAAAGCACCAGTTCCTATCCAGAGCTCATTTTCCCCCCAGATCTTTTATATTCTGATGCAATAACACCGCTTCAGCCATTATTGTGCAACACAATGTGCCTCTAGGTGAGAGTATGCAGATGTAAATGCTCTCTGGGCTTTTGACACACAGCTAATGTATCCCTAAGTATCTCAAAGTTTGGGCTGCCTGATGCACAATATTTTCAAGTTAAAAAGTTTCATGGATTCTTTTCTCGTGCCATTAACTTGGAATGAAAAAAAAATGGAAGTCACTTGTCTACACCTGGCATTCAGCATTCTCTATTCCAAGTGCAGAATGTTATTGTTCTATGAGACAGATTAACTGTTTTGCTGCTCTGCTTCTTACACTTATGATCCACAATATGCAATAATGTAAACGGTCTCATTAATTTCAGTGACCTCTGAATCAGGCCTTAGACATGTTCTCCCTCTTTTTAATTTCTGCCTGGGCATTTTTCATGTGTTTCCTTGAACCCAACTCTGAACAGGGTAAAGAGATACCACAGCTCATCTGCTCTCACAGGTGGTCTTGAAACGAGGATTTCCTTGAACTTTTATTCTGACTGTTAAAAA